ACTGTAACACTGACATCCTGATCCCTTCTCAATCACTTTAATGAATTAAAGAATAAATTCTATGAGATTCTATGAGATTCTATGGACACAGTCGGATACCAAAAGCTTAAAAATGATTGCATATTGCACACAGCTTTATAACCACCTGGGAGGGGCAAAAAATGTGGGTCCCTCTCAGTCAATGGTGTTTTACAGTTATTATTACCAAGTGAGTCTGGATTCTCTTCAAGGCCTATCTTACCTGTACCTCCAGGCACCCTGGAGCCTCCCAACATAAAACATGTCAAATGTGAAGGGCTCCGGGACCTCTCAGGTCAACAATCACGTGACACGTCAAAGCATAAATTGGCCATTCCATCATATCCATACATTTTTACCTGAAGCTACATCCTGAGCGTGTATTTAAAAAGGTCAGAGGTATTAAAGGTTGCATTAGGAAGCACAGGACGTCAGTATGAATTTACTACTATCATAAAAGCAATTTTAGTGCTTTGATGGGGCCTTTTCTATAAATGGCTTTCATAGCCGTGTATTTATATAAGATACTGTAGCTGCAGGTAAACGTAAGTTAGCTACCAGGTCTAAGTTAGTAGTAACTGATAAAGGCGTATGTTGCTAAAGACAGAATAGAAAAAGGTATGATAATGATAATTCACAGTTTCTTTTAGAAATCACAGAAAATCTACAATTATCCAGGGACTACTGTCTCTTATTCAGGCAGAACAACAGAATGACAATTATAAAGAAATGTGAGAAGAGCAGAGATCAAGCAGCAAAGCATCTGCAGTGAAGCAAACTTCAAACAGGAGGCATCTCTTCAATATAATAGCCAATAATCACATTTCTTTATCTTTGTTGTTTAGACTATATGGTTAAACTAAAGGATAAATGCTCCCATGTAGATACAGTATACTTGTCTAGTTACAATTCAGTGAGTACATAAAATAAATATATTTCTTATAAAATCACGTTTTTTTTTTGTTTGTTTGTTTGTTTTAAAAGGGAGCCAAGCAAAGTACTTTCTAAAAAATAAGCAATCGAAAGATCATTGCAGCAACAGAATTGCCAGCTGGGTGAAAAAATGTCTTCTAGTCCCTCATTGTTCCCAATAAAGAAGGTTTCCAAATAAGGAAGGCTGACATGCAGATATGGCCACAGGGTGACGGCTGAGTAACTGAATTAAAATCCCATTTGCTCATCAATCATGTGAAGAGCCTGCTTGGCTTTCTGCTCGATAACCAGAGGATATATATGCCAAGTGTGGTGCATCATAAGGATACTGTTTGCCTCTGGGGAGGCCAGCTGGGTGGAGAAGATATCAACAGAGAGCGGAAGGAGGGTTGGGAGAGGGGAGGTAGAGGATGTAGGGAAAAGCACAGACTGAGGATATGGGATAGGCTGCATTTAATTTTATATACTTTACTCTATTATATTATAGAAGACCAACTGAAAATGGCCTATAGTAACAGCTCCCAAGACATCCTTACAAAATAGTATCCATTTTGACTTTTAACGTCCAAACTCCCCCTTTTCACCTTCCTTTTCACCTTCCTTTTCATTCAGTACTCACTGACTCTTAAGCTGATACTCCAAAAGGAAACAGTATCCTTTTTCATATGATCAATGTTAATGCACTTTCTGACAGTCAAAGGGCTAGGTGGTGTGTGCAGAGGCCCTAAGGGGATAACACTGTCCGACCTGATAGTAGCAAGTCTGGATTTACAGCTATGTGAGCCAGACACCAGATAATGTACTCCACCTAGCAAGGCTGCTGTTAATCAAAGAGGGCACTGGTTTTTAAAAAACATTTGTGTTAACTTACTAGTCTGGTTATGTGTCAATTAAAGAGTCAAATTAGATAATGATCTTGTTTTTGCTGTGAAGGCAATTAAATGTCTACTGGATCCACCCTTTACTGTACGGCTGTATGTTATGTTTCTGGCAAATGAAAATATAGACATCAAGTGACTGGAATTGTTATAGGCCATTCATTTTGAATGAGTGCTAGCTAGGAAATGAAATGATGCAGCTACACTGCCTGTGCTGCATCGTAGTGACAGCAGCCAAGTGTACAGGAACAACAATCTAGCTTGTGTCCATCCCTGATTGTGTGTGTGCGCGTGCGTGCGGTCAAATGGTCTCACTAATGCTTATGACCTTGTTATTTAGAAAACACTATAATAAAATACAATTTTTGCGGAGATTTACAGGCAGGTATGGGCTCTGTTGCTCACAGAGAATGTCAGTGACCAAAATTGCTGGCAGGATTGGCATTTGATTGTCTCTGATTTACAGCTTTGCATGTGGTTATCTGAGCCCATATTGATCTAAGCTGCTCCATGCCGCAAAACTCACACTTATCATGATCTGCAAGTGTGTGACAAAGAAAAATGTATCAAATGGTACAATGGGATAAGCTAATAACCTATTCCACACTGTTCGCTAAAGTGATTTTATTCAACCCAATCAATCTTTAACTTTTGGTTGGCTGTCTATTACACTTGTTTTGCCTGACTAGGCTTGGTTGCTAGGCTTCTGTAAACCTGCTCACCTGTGACTGTGGCAGCCAAAAATGGGACCTTTCTTAATTACCTTTCTAATTACTAATTACCTATTTGAAGGCATCCCAGATTAAGAGAACACTATTTTGCCAAATCCATAGTTTTATGGAGACTGCTGAATATAGAGGTTGCCATGGCATCTGGCTTTCGAGGGCACTTAAATGAAACAAATATATTGTCAGAATATCCACAGAGAGAAATATCCTCTCTCTAAGTTGCCAACAAGAGCATGGGCCATTTAGTCATTTAATTAACACAGCTTTGATGATATTAACCTTCCTGGTCTGACTGAAGGCCCACAGGTTTTTAATTTCCTCATCTGATTGTGTCCATTTGCCTGCTATAATCTTAGCACCAAGGGGAGACATCGCTCTTCTAAGCAGTGACAACTATGGTTCAACTGCTCAAACACAACGTTTAAGGAGAACGGTTTTATTGTTGCATAATGAGCAAAGTACAAAATACAATTCAGTTACAGTAAGTTAAAGAACTAAAATACACTTCTATGTTAATTTTGTAGTTATTTATTTCACTGCTTAACATTAGAACCGCTAATGAGAAAATCTCCTTGTACCAGTTCCCACAGAAGTTCCTTTTTTTCCTAGAAACATGCATTTTAAATTTTTTTTTTTTACTAGTTTATTCAACTCTCTCTTTGAAATTAATCCTTGCTAGAGGCAGATATACAGTAGCCTACCCATATACTAATTAAATAGGCGTTAGAGAAGATGTAAGCGATGGAACATCAATTTATATAATGGCTTTAAAAGTGAGAGATAATGTGGGGGACAGCAGGAGGCAGTATCCGTGGTGCAGAACGAAGATAATACTTGCCACTTCTTCTAAAGTTAAAGCTCTGTTGAGATGACACCTATCATAACATGAGAGCAGAGGACACACTCAGTCCCACTCAACCAACAAGGTTTTCTCAGTGAGCCACAACTGGCACATAACTACTGCTATTTATATAAGGCTAATAAGGCATTTTATACAGTAAGAATAAGAATGGATAGGCTTCGTACTGGGATTTCTCGCACATACACTGTTGGTCTTTCGGTTCGGAAAAGTGGGACAACAGGTGTAGCAATTCAAAGTCTGACATTTATTTCAAAGCAACCTCTGTGTACAAGAGTCTTTTTCTCTGAGAAGGAACATTTCTAACAATTGCATTTTTGGCCATAATAAGTAATGATTCAGCAGTTTCTTTGACAAACCAGTGTGATTGCTGTTCCAAAATGTGCTGCTGTGGCACTAACGCATGAGAAAAGCATCACAGAGAGAATACTTTGACTGGCACTGTATTTCTATTACTAGGCTTAGGGGTTGCTTGCATTTTTTTTTTGTGTTGCCATGACGACAGAATACGATTTCCTCACTTGCTGTGCAAGTGTTCCCTTTCCAGACAGTGGCAGAAACACCACAGAAAATGACCCCCTTCACAATCCAAGAGTTCCCACTTACCAACTGGCTTCCTTTCTCTCCCCCACAAATTCTCTGACAATCTCCGCTGTCTGTTACAAATGGCTCTCTATTTAATAACATAGCGACGGACCTCCATAAGCCCTAGTTACCCAGACAACTAATGACAAGAATCAGAGGGGGAGACGGGACTGACAGGAAGACAATGGACACTGTGTTCAAAGTAAATGGAAAACGTAAGTGTTTACAGTGTATAACTGGTGATACCGCTAGAAATTACAATCAATGTTTTCTCTCCCAACAATGACCAATGATCTTTAAATTAGTTAGAACATGAAATTTTAACCAGACAAGCCAAACACTACAAAATGTAGAATGTAAAAGTCTGTTATATGTAGGAAACATGAGTAAAGGTTAATTACTATAATTCAAAAGATAGTCCACAAGATCTTGCATGGCTGATTCTGAATAGTATTTGCTTAGACCTTTACTGACTAATTAAAAAGGAAACATCAAACCTCTGGTGTTACATATTTTTAACTGGTATTCAAAGAGAGAAAACATCAAATATTACATACTATTTAACCTGGGCAAACCAGTTTTTGACCTACAACAGAAAGTTTCTTTTAGGTATACTATTACGCCTAATAACGCTGGAAAACAAAAAAACAAAAGCCCAAAATGGTCAGTGGAGCTACACCCCAGTAACATACATGAAAGAACATTAAATCAACATTTTACTACCATTGCTACTACAAATACTGGACATAGGACTAGGACATATTTAACGGATTATAAACTGGCAACCACGTCCATGTAAATCTGTTTATGATGCAGCAAGAAAGCAAGTGAAGTTCTTAAAAAAAAAAAAAAAAAAAGCACTATGCTCTTAAGCAACTCCTTCATTAAAGCTGCCATCAAGCCTCATCATGAGCTCTTGAGCTAGTAACTGCATTTTAATAGTCAGTAGCTCGAGCTATTGCAGCACTTAAGCTGCAGTTATACGAAGCCTATAGGGGTTTGGAATATATGTCTGATATAGCATTTGTTTTCTCCACTTAAAGTTGAAGACTATCGAAGTGAATTCTGTTTTGTAAAGTAAATAGTGGTATATGAGTTGAACAGACACATTTTTTATCGCTTTCGTCAACTATGTCCAGTGTTCCTTCATTGGCAATATCTGTTTATTCTTCTCAGATTTGAAGGCGCAAGTGAAAACTGAAGTAGCACTGCTCAGGAAGTCAAAATCCGAAATAAATACAAGTCAAAAATGGTTTTTATTTTTCTCAAAGTGTGTGTGGTTGGCTATTAGAAATCTGTGAAGAGGTACATATGACAAGAAAATATCAGTGTCTGCATCTCCTGTCAACTGCCCTGAAAAGCTCTAGCAGCTAAACGATAAAATAGCACACCAAATCTAAAATGCCATCCTTTATTCTACTACCCCTTTCTCTCCATCTATTGTTTTTCCAGATGTTTCAGGCTGAGTGGAGATGTAAAAGCATTTCAAAGCCCTCAACTGGAAAATGTTCATCTGCATTTTGCATATTAAAAGCGTTCAAAATCAACATAATCACGCTGAGAGTATTGCATCCCCGACTCCTACGTACAACATTTCCAATTTCACGCTATGTACCCATCTTTAGATAGTGAATAATTTTCATTATCACAGAAGGTGGGAAATGTAATTCTCTTAATCCATCCTTTCAAAAGAGGGGACAATGAAGATTAAAGCGTAGGTGAGGACAGAGGTGTGTGCGCCTGTGTTGCTGCATTATTTTGCTGTTCAAACTGTCCAACACTAGAATGGCCAAACAAGATAAACTCCCTGCTTCTGAATAACAGCTCCAATGTAGTCCTTCAGTATCTGCATAATGTACTTAATTAAGTTAATTAGCAATTACCATGAACAAACAAGTACGACTGGAGAGGTAAAGAGAAAATTAATTATGTTGCAGAATTTAGAGATCATCATCAATAACAGTATCCTTGTGCACAGTGCTGCCTTACATATGACTTATTGTGTTTAAATATTCATGTTTTATTCCTAAGGTCTCTACATGCAAACATCAATGCTCTGTGTCTGTATCCACTCAGAGGAGATGCATCTGGAAAATGATGCACTGACTGAAACAACCTTGCATGTGCACTTCAGTCAAGCAGAAAACAGCTGTGTGCCAGGGGGCATTCTGGTTGAGCCCACCCACATTGTGAAAAGGATTTTAATGGGTTCTTGACCTTAGTAATCATTGAGGAGGACTGTGGCCACTGTGGTCTTAAGACCAATTGACCTGACGAAACATCTAGCGATAATGTTTGCCACCCATTATACTATAGCGCTCACAACACCCCACCCCCTGGGAATATGAGGACTCTTGAGTAAAGCTGAATTAGTCATTGCACAAGCCAGCTACACAGAGTAGAGCTGAAACAACTAACCAATTAGTTGATCAACAGAAAATTAATCTGCAACCATTTTGATAATTAATTATTTTTCAGGCACAATTGCCGAACACCATTTGCTGCTTTATTTGATCCTATAAAGTATGTTAGCAAATTGAATATCTTTGGGTTTTGGACTGAAGGTCGGACAAGACCAACAATATGAAGACCTCATTTTTGAAACTGTGATTTTTTAAACTATTTTATGTTATAGACAAAAAGATTGATTAAGAAAAAAATCTGCAGATTAACCAAAAATGATCATAACTGTTACGACACTAATTCAGAGTTTCCCCTTAACCTTTTTTGTGGTTGATTTTAAAGCCTCATGTCAAGTGCATTATTGAATGACAGACAAATAAATACCAACATTTTTTCACTAATATTAAATCTGAGAAAACATTGAGTATTATATACTACTCGAACTGGAACATTTTGAGTTTCTGACCTGTGACAGTCAGCAGTCTAAAGACAAAGACTGAGAATAAAAATGTAGAATCATAGGATACATGTCCTTGTATATCAGTGAAACATCGTGCAAACTAACAGAACAGTACCACAATATTTGTATTGTCTGAAACACCTCTCTGACATAAACTAAAAAAAAACTATTATAAGCTTCACAAAACCGCATTTGGAACATGCCTATTGTACTGATGTTGTCAGGACCCCAGCAAAAAGCAGAACGCATGAATCTGAGAAAAAAAAAAAGGTGATAGATTTGTGCCATCAAAACCAAACTTACTGGAATCATCCAGTTGGCTAGGTCTCCATGTTTTGACACCTGCATGGCTCCCAGCATTGTCAGGTTGATGTGACCACTAAAGAGAATGACACAACAGAAGAAGACAGCTGTCAACTTCAGAATCAATTCAACTTATGAACTCACAAGTCCACTTGCCAAAAGAAACCCCAAATATTTGATACTTGATGATTGGACAGATTCAGAACAAATATCTTCACAAAAATAACCCCTCTTCCCATCTCCACGGTTTTCTTGATAGCAGAACTTATCATATATATATCATATATAAAAGGCTTGTGAGAATGTTTTTTTTTCACCCCCTCCTCCAAAAACAAAATCATTTTGAGAACAATTGCAATATGTCTGAAGATTAGTGGTAATAATCATTTTTGCATCACAATTTGCATTTTCACTGAGAAAAACTATTATATAAACATGATAATATGACATTTGTTGGGGTCTGTACCACACAAACATGTTTTTTCTTTTACATCTTAACAAGATTTGTAGGCCAACACTTCTTCGCAGAACTACAGTACTTTATTATAGTGCTGTTTTTGCCACATATTTAACCTTTATCAAAACAATTACAGCTTCTGCAAGTTGGATACTGAACTTGAGCAGCCCTAATAAAATGTACCATATTAACAGAATTAGTCAGTTATTTTATCTCTTTATTAAGTGTGATTTCTGTGGAAGCAATTCCTTTTCCTGTTTCTCGTGGACTCTAGTCCAGAGTGAGGTATCCAACAATGCCTCTAGAGCATGAAGGGGCATTGTTAGGATGCTTGCCGTTAGATTTTAACCAGGATCTGTGGAACTGCTGCCTACAATAAAATCATAAGTATCTTAATTCCTCATTGTTTCTCCATTGCATGTGGCAACACATAGCAGGTGTGAGGCCAAACAGAAACACATACAAAGTAAGAAATGCTAAAATTCTGCGATAAAGTACACATCTAAATCTAATCCCAGTGAGAGAAGTAGCTTGTGTGGTATTTGAGGCAACATGGCACACAATCCACCATATGTTGTGTTATTGTTTCTCAGCTCTTAACTGTGTTCGCACAATAGCTCACACACACTCTCTCACACACACTCACACACACTCTCACACACACTCTCTCACACACACACACACACACACACACACTCACACACACACACACACTCTCACACACACTCTCTCACACACACA